GGAGGATTGTGCCTTCGATGCCAGAGGCTTCGGCTGGCCGATATCGGAGGCAGGCCTCAATGCCGGAGCCGTTGAGGTCGATGGTTTCTCGGCGTCCATCACTGAGGAAGGATGTAGGGCCAACTCAAGCAGGGCCACTTTAAGGCGCGCAGCTCGGTTTTTTGGGGTCTGGTTTGAAAACCGAGCACAGTGGCAACAAGATTCCGGTCGATGAGACTCTCCAAGACAAAGTATGCAAAGGGTATGATGGTCAGGAGGAGCAAGTTTACTACCGCAACCCTTGCACCTATGAAAAAAGTCCCACTTCTTCTCCATAAAAACCAAAGTGAAAAAGAAAGGGGGGGGGGGTAGCCCGAAGGCCCAACTGACGTAAAGCGGCAACCTCCCCCTCAGCAGAAAATAACGTGTTTTTTTTAAAGTTTTTGAAAGAACAACGAAGAAAAGGAATGAACTGAGGAAAAAATCCAAAGAGCCGTGAGGCAAAAAGCCAAAACACGCGAACCGATCAGACCGACGAAGAAAGAGGTCTTTCCAACGTGGTGGTAAGAAAGGAACTGGCGGGATGTCCGCGCCCACCCCTCTGGGCATGTGCGGTGGTGTTCCTGCGCATGCCCGAGGGACTGGGCGCGAAAATCCGTTAATGCCGATTGATCCAGCGCGTGCGCACTAGATCCCATGGGTGTGAAGCACAGAGACCACGTTGAAGATCAGATCATTTCAATTACAGGAAACTGTTTTCACTTAACACTTTATTATTTCTATAACTTTAGAAGAATGTTATTTCAATGAACTACTTCAGCAATAATTGTGCGGACTTAATGAAGTCTCTTGGAAAAGAGAGAAACCACTTCAGTGTGAAACAAAAGACAAGGGCTCCTGTTCTGCAATGTGATGGTTTGCTTCCCATGCTACACTTCACAGGACACAAGAATAGTATTAAAATCTGATGAGGGCTCCAGAAAGGGGCATTAGTTCCGTATGCCATACTTAAGAAAGGATGTCAAATTTCTAAGCAGAAAACTCAGCTCAGTGTACCTCCTTTTGCTTGCATCAGGCACCGAATTGCTTCCTCAGCCTCCTGTGGGGTGGTAGTTTTGATCTGCTTAACGTTATACGGCTTACTAATTCCAGTCCGTGATTTTGGCTTACAAGAATAAAAAAGGAAAAAGAAAAACTGAGCTCAAACAAAAGTAAAATACACAAAAGATATAATATCCTGCCACCCTCTAAAAGCAAGGTACAAAGAGGAATCTTATTAATTTCCCATAGTGACTGGTTTTCTTTTACTGATCATGAACCAATGTAAACTAATCTCTTCCACGTGAAAGAAAGCCTTCTCTTATACGCTCCCTCTAACCCCAATCCTTGTGCCTTTATATACGCAATCCTGCTGAGGCTGATGCCACTAGCCAAGGTTTGTCAGGTGGCAGCTAAGTTCATGGTCTTCTCTGCTGTGGCACCATACCTCTGGAACTCTAGGCCTAGAGAAGTCTGGTCACCTTGCTCCTGACATTATGAAATTACGAAAACAGAGTTTTTAGGAGCATTCTTTTCCTCTAGACGAGGGACAATGGATTTCTCTCTATATACACTGACAATGATTCTTGAAGGATGAGTTTTAGAATGTTCATCAATTTGGGCAGGGTTTTTAATATTCTGATCAGCCATTTGAGACTATTACTAGTGGTATAGGTTTAAGAAATGTAAGTGGCTTATCACTTGATACAGGTAGTGATTGAAAGGGAGGAATTATAAACACCGCTTTCCATGTTTTAATTATTAGCACATGAGAAAGTTGCCTGTGGACAGTTTTACTACCTGTGGTAGTGCCAGTAGCATTATTTTGTAATTTATACAGTACTTTACCATCAATCATTATCTCACAGAGGAACTGTGTTTCCCCCTGCTCCACACAAGGGAGTTTGCTTTACCTCAACAACAGCAAGGGAGTGATTTTGCCCTATTCTTACAATTCCACACCCCCATACCACATGATGTTGTGTTCAGGGGAATCTCCTGATCTTTTATGCATTTACGCATGTCTCTTCCATGTATAGGAGTTATAAATCCAACTATGTATGGGTGACACTTTGGCATGCAGTTACTTTTTCACACACATTCTCTGAAAAATTATGCTGAACTACTCACTGGTTGTTGTGGTGCTCCTGGAAGGAGCTTTGCTGTTTGCAAGATGGAAGACAGGGAGTGGCCTCCTGAAGAGATGGAACCATCTGATGTAGATTTTTTAACAGATAATCCAGCTGCAGGAGAAGAAAGTGAATTGCTGTCACACATATGCACACACACACACATATGTAAGTATGTGTGTTTGTCTGTATGTTAAGATAGGAAGTCCCACGGCCTAATATGGCAACATGGCCAACTTTGGATTCCAAATATTGTGGTACCTGGATGGAGGTGAAGCATGGGAAAAGTCAGGAGGCAGAGCCTGGCGAACTCCAATAGGAGCAGACTAATAGAAAAAGATTCCTACTTGCACCATTTAGCCTTGCCTCTGCCAAGCCTGCCTCCGTCAGCTTACGAAACCCAGGCACAGTTAACTGAGAGGGAAGCATAACCAATGCACCCTACTGTTTCTCATACGTGGACTGTTGAGGTGAACAACCTGATTCCTTAGTCTGTGCATGCACAACCTACACCATTCAAACATTTGCACTAAATGCTGTTGATGAAATGCTGCTGAATTTTACTCCCCCCCCCCCAATTCAGTTTTACTCAAACTGAATCATTGGCAACCCTAAAGTGATTGTGGAGAAGTGGGGATTTATGCAATCTTATCTGTCAACTGAAAAAAAAGTGTGCTTTTAAAAAATCGTGTCCTTTAATTGGATTAAACATAGTACATTTATGAGTGAAATAAATACAAATATCCAAAATACGCCTGGGAAAACTTCATTACGTTTTCACCAAGCAGACAGAAACTATTGCAAAACAGCTGACAAGATCTTTCCGCTGATTGGTGGCCATTGTTACAAAATCCATTGGCAGACTACTGAGGCCAAAAACAAAGAGGTGAGACTAGCAGTCTGATCTTGTGAGTGTTTACTTAGAAGTTAATTCTACACAGTTCAACAGGAAACATGCACAGATTGTAGCCTACACCTGTCCAAAATTGCAAAGACCAAAGAGGATTTACATGACTAATGACTTCATCCCATGTAAATACACATAGATGGAAATCCCACTGGTTTCAGCAGAACATTTCCAGGGCCACGTGATTCCACAGTAGTAAAGAATGTAACACAGTAGTAGAGAATGTAGCACAGTAGTCAGTGTCTCATGAGAAACTATGATTTAAGCATCTAGGCTTCATGGCCACAGAGATAGGCTTGAGTAGGTAATGCCTGCTAGAATTCCAGAAATGGGAAAGATGGCTGAATGAAACTCTCCCGTGGCCGTGGGCCGAGGCATCTGTGCTCTGCATAGATTCTGTTGCTCCCTCATGACTAGAAATTACAGAATGAATCAGAGACAATAAGAAAAATTGGAATTTGTACAGGAGGACAAATCCAGCTTTTCTCAGCACAACATTTTTATCACTTTTATATTGAGCTCACATAGTTCTGCCTCTTTATATGTAAATGTATTTGGAGCCACAATCTAACGGGGGATTTGTGAAGACATGATTTGTTTTCAGCCCAGAGAAGGCACATCAGACAGAGCTGTCAGTCTCCTGGTGGGGGCTGGAGGTCTCCTAGTATTACAACTGTTCTCCCAACTACAGAGACCAATCCTCATGGAGACGATGGCATCTTTAGAGGATGAACTCTATGGCATCACATCCGCGTTGAGCTCACTCCCCTCTCCCCAGTTTCCACTTCCAAATCTCCAGGAATTCCCCCAACCCACAGCTGGTAAACCTATTGTTATACCAAACATGGTCTCTCACCCGGAGGAGGTGGTCGCTGTGGTGGCTGAGGCCTACCAGGAACAGAAAAAGACCTGCTTGGGGAACGATGGCGAAATTCTCCACTTCCTTCTAGCTCTTGTTTTAGCTCAGCCAGATCAGCATCATCTAGGGAATATATCAAAATAATGACAAGTGGAAGAGAAAGCAAGACAGAATGAAACCACGACACCAAAAAATTAGACGTTTACCAGCAAAAGAAGGGAAGGTGGGAAATGAATACGAGACACAAAGCATGTGCTTGCCTCAAGAAGAAGCTTCCCTGATGGGGCTGCCAACTCTAGATTGGGACACTCCTGGAGATTGGGGGGGGGGAGGCTCGGGGAGGGAGGGGTTTGGGGAGGGGAGGGACCTCAGTGGGGTTATAATGTCCACCCCCTGCAAAGCAGCCATTTCCTCCAGGGGAACTGATCTCTGTCATATGGAGATCAGTTATAATTCCAGGAGATCTCCAGCTTCCCCTTGCTGGCAACCCTATCCCCCAACTTTCAGTGACATGCATTCAAGCTACTTTCTTCTGTCAATCACCAGCTTTTCAGGCCCAGTCATCGTTCCCTGTCATTCCTAATAGGGGGGAAACCACCAATCACAGGGATAGTCCAGGCTGCAAAGAACGGGGCAATTTTGCTAAGCACTGGACAAATGTTTTGAACATTCATTCGCTCAGAGCATTCTATGGTGGAGAGTTCGGGTCACCAAGCATGTTTGGATTATAAAACACCACATACCTTTCTGAAAAGGATTAAGTGCACATTATATGTGTATCCAATACCTGCACTGATGCATAAGGCCTCTGCATAAGCTGTGCAGTACACAGTGCAAGCTGGGGCAATTATCTGTATTAAGAGACAGACAGACTCCAGCCTGTGGCAAGCCAGTCATATGAAATCTGATGCTCACACATTGAATTCAGCTTGGATTAGCTTTTGACAGCTGGCGGCAACCAAACTGAACCTCACGAACAAGTTCATTTTTAGTGTGTCCACTGGCTAGTTAAATTAACAATTCAGCTCCCAGAGACAAAAGTTGCAGTCAGATGTTATGATAAACTATGGTTTGTTTAAAATGTGGTTTGTGAACAAAACTCTGATTCATTTACCAGATATCATTAATAAATCTTGGCCTGTGTATAAACTCTTACTATTCTGTTCCTTGCCTCCTTCCACTGCCTCCACCTATACTGCCATCTCTATGGCTAGGTGACTGCAAGAGGCAGCATCACCAAACAAACTATGGTTTGTGAATCTAGAAGCCACAACAAACCACAATTAATACTAACTGTGGTTAACAAACCAGCTACAAACCATAACTGGAAATCCCAGCTTGTTACCAAATTAAAATTTGTAATTTGTGATTACAAATTAACAAATTCCCTGTGTTACATGCAGACAACAGTGACAAAGAACATTTTTCAAATATTTATATAAAACAAGACAATGGTAACATTAATAAGCTAAATTTATAGAACACAGGGGCGCGCACACTTGTATGTATGCAGTGTTTGGGCTTATTGCTTTCTATATCTAGAAGTTTTGTATAGGAAGGTATCTCCCAAAACCTATGCTCTGTGTGGGCCATTGTTACAGCTATAGACACAATTTGCCTGCTTTCTTTTTACGTAACTATGAAGGTTACCTTTGTACAGCTGCTGCTTTCTTCCAGCAAGGTGAGGAGATTTGTTTGCATGGACCATGGACGGCATCATGAAATATTCAGGCCCATCCAGCAAATCTTCCACTGCTAATGCAATGTCATCTAAATAGTCATCTTCATCATCTAGAATATCACCTAAACCAGAAGATATGACAGTGGTAGGTAAATAGGAACTGACCTTTGACAAGCATTCCTAATGCATGGTACTATTACAAAGAGAGCACAGCTGAAAGGATTAGCAGATGCTTGGGTCATGATCTACAAAACAGTGAAGCACAGGGGCTTCCACACGTGCATCAGAGCTTCCCACATTCCCCTTCTGCCTGCCCAGCATGCTACTCAACATGCTCCTTCCAAAATTCAGAAGAACTTCAGTCCAACATGAGGAACTGCAGTAGTTAGTGTGCTCTAATTCATGTACCTCACGGTCTCTGTCTACAACAGCAAGTCCCAGTATAGGAAGTACAGGGTAAGACCTTTGCTTCAAATATATATGAAATAATCTGAAGCCATATGGAGCTTAGTAACTAAAAATTATGGAATTTAATAAAGTCCTGTTGGTATCTTGGAAACAAAAAAGGGAACAATACAGAGGGAACAATACCTGACCAGAAACTGAAAGCTTATAGCTTAATCTACAGTTTGTATCACACACCTTCTGATTCATAATCTAAACTTGAGAAATCAAAATTTTCCTCTAGTAGGCAGGAGTTTGCTGTGGGTGACATAGGAGCCATGCTGTCTCGCTTCCTAGCAATTTCCTCCTGAAGACCCTTCAGCCAGTCTTTGGTTTTAGGCCAGATCTTCACTGTCTTGCTTTTAATCTGTATCATGAGAAAGAATGGATTACGTTTCCCTTAGTTAATCGCATTACTTTGCATAAATGAGGGGTCCAGGCATCCACAGAATGGCAAGATGACAACCTGTTCAGCAAACGGAAGATTTTTAAAAAGCCACCAATGAAGTACCTTAAAGAGTGTAACTAGAACTCTTGGTTGCCTGGTGTTGCAGTTAAAATGTATTTATCATGTGTTGAATCCTGTGTTAAGAACCTCACGAACAAGTTCATTCTAAGATATCAAATACACATCATAATTGCATCTAAAGGATAATGTGGGAGACTCATGATGAGATCTCCTGTCATTTTAATTTCTCCTTAAAAGGGGTTCCAAACTGGATTGAACTGCAGTGGCTATCCCTGCCCAGCTGCCCTTTCTCCCATCAAAATAATAGTAATCGCATTGCTGTCAAGTTGCAACTGACTCACAGCAACCCGAGGGGCGGGAGCCTGTGACGTGCATAGAAGCAGAAGGGGCCGGGGTAGGCGAGGCCCGCCATTTGCAGGGCCGGGCGGGGAAGGAGGAGGCCGGCCAGTCGCTGGGTCAGGGAGGGTGGGGCCAGGCATGTGGCGGGAAGATAGGCGCCTCCCCGCCCTCCCTGGGCCAATCGCAGGGAAGCGGGGTGTCCGGAGGGAGAGGCCTTGGGTCTACGTGACCCGGGCCACTCGCCGCCCTCACCCCATTCTAACTGTGAAGGGAGCTGCCCTTTCTCCCATCAAAATAATAGTAATCGCCTGCTGTCAAGTTGCAACTGACTCACAGCAACCCAGGGGGCCACTGGGCTTTCAGAACAAGAGATAAAACAGTTTGCCACTGCCTGCCCTTCACCTCTAAATGCCAGAATTGCTTCCTAAACTACAATATTACTTGTGAGTACTAACTGAAATAAGAGTTTGCCATTGCAATCTAAAAAGCTCATTAGCACTTAGAGGACATTTTTTTGTCTCTATGAAACTCTTCTGATGCTTAGGATGTTTTCTCGGAGAAGAAATCCTGGCACTTAAAACAAAGATTTCTGTAAGGCTAATTGTGATCTTTAAATGGCAATGGTGCATTTTAAGGAGCACTTAAAAATTGTTTCTGGGGATGTCTCAATGAGGAATAAATCCAATAAACAGTCCGTGGGGAGGGGCTGATTCAATGGCAAAACTTGATCTAGCTGGATTTTGTAATAGTTTTTACCAACAGCATTCTGTAATCCCTGAAAAATTGCTGCAGAGGGTTGCGGGATAGTGTCTAGAACAATACACAGGGGGCTTACACTAGAAGGACAAATCCACTGAATTCATTCCCCTCACTCTTCAGTGAGTGGAGCAGACTCCAAAAGCAGAGCTCCCCCCCCCCCATGCTATTTTCCCAATCCAAAACAGCCCCAGGGAGGCGCTTCTTGCCCTGTTGACATTCCTGACACTGGATTATCATAATCAACTCAGGGGGACTCAGACCCACCCTACATGTAACAAATTGTAAAATGTAGTTTGGGCCAAAAATATTGGTCAACCAGAAAGCTACAAGCTCAGGTTCAGGGAAATTACATCTCTATATCTGAAATGATGACTGTCAAAAGATTGGGCCTTCAGTAAAATCAATAAAAATGGTAAAAGAAAAACTTTCCATGAAAACCTAGCTAATATGTTAAGCATTATCCATGACTCTGATGTCTAAATGAGCACAGTGGGGTTTTTTTTACCTTGACACCATCTACATCAAGAACATGGAGAGCAGACCTGCTTTCTGAAAAAGTTACCAGCATTTGACCTCCATTGATCCTAATAAGAACAGAGGCAAAGAAGAGATAGTAAATCAACTGCCTATTATTTTCTGCATCTTTGCACATCGTATAAATTGTCTTCTAATGTTTTTAGACAAAGGGTGCTTAAGTTTCTCATCATGATAATTCAGGATCAATGATGCTGTTATCTGTGCTGGTCTGAATAAGGGATGCATTGAAAATAAATTTCAACCACAGCATGTTTTCTTTAAGAAGGGTATACCTGGCCATTACACAGAAATTGTGAAAAGAAGCATTACAGACCAGACCTCTTTTTTAATGCTTCTTGTGTTAACAACAAAATTGGGAGTGAAAATTTCTTCGATGACCCTATGCATACATTCCATATGAGAATACAGCTTACATGTGTCGTTGCTGGCAAGATGGCTCAAGTCACTACTTTGGTAACCAAAGAAAGCACAAAAAGAAGAACCCCAAGTCCCTGTCCCTTTGCCATCTCACCTCTTATCATGTTCAAAGCCACCCTCAGTTTCCTCCTTTCCACTGACCAGATGTTTTATTAGAAAAGAGCAAGAGTCGAGTCGCACTTTAAAGACTAACAAAATTTGTGGCAGGGGGCGAGCTTTCATGAGTCACTGCTCACTTCTTCAGATACTGTTTTATGTAAGCAAAAGCTAGTTACATAACCTCTTTAAAATTCAGCAATATTTTTGGAGCACTTGTGCTTTTAAAAAGAGATGACAAACGGAAATGCATTTCCTTCTGCCTTTCATCAATAGTCTCCCCGTGTTCCTAGAATACAGGAAGGCTAAAATCCTAGTATGGTTGTTGAACCTATATCTTAAACTGAACACAAAGCCAAAGTGAACACTGTGAAAAGGGCTCAGAATGTCTAGGGTGAAGCTGGACAATTTTGAACAATTAATATATATTATTTCCCCTTTAACACATTTTATGGTTTGGTGTTGATGACACATGGAGCTGAGCTAGAGCCTGATGAAAAGTTCATGAGTAACGGTGGAAAAATTCTGGGAGAAATCAAGGTGGTTGCTTTGTGTATGTCAGATAAACAGAAGATGAATAAATATAATTACGAATCCAATCTAGATATTATTGAATTAATGGCATCCATAGAAATCTCTATGTGTACAATTAATGTGGTGAGATCAGAGCCTGTCCAAGGGAATTCAGAACACACTGTTTTGAATGCCCTAATCTGAATTAGGGAAAAGTTCATCCAATACTAAGAATTCAGAAATATATTCAGAATACACGAGATATTTGTAAAAAAAATTAAATGACAAAGGACACTTTGATTTGCTGCTTTAGTGTGCTGCTTCAGGGCAATCTGTCAAGCTTATCAACAGCACTCAGGGAGACAGTTCTGCCTCTCTTAGGCCATTTCATCTCATGCACACGAGAAATCTGACTAGATTTCTAAAGTATATAGAAGCAGGTAGTATTGTGGCAATGAAATCTTATATTCTAATTTCCAACAGAGGGCGCCGTGTGCAGATACTTATTTCCACTAACAGGAAGCTCACTCTGCCCCAACAGCTTTTCCTACATAGTCAGTAGACTACCTGTGTCTGCAGAAAAATCCAAAAAGTAAAAAAATCCCTTCAGGGACCCCCCAATATCTTTTGAAATGGCCTCTGCAGGGATCTAACTCCAGGCATCAAAGGTGAGAGAGAGATTGGAACGTTCAGGGCGGGGGGGAGGAGGGCTTCTAACTGGCTCTGTGAGTCAAAGGGTGGGGGAAGGGCTGTTTCCTGGCCTCTTTTGGCCTTTCAAGGAGGGAGGGAGGGAGCCGTGGGGCCAGGCCTCACAAGAGTTGCCACTGCCAGGCTGGGGGATTTCTAGATATTTTGTGGAGGGCTGGGTTTGGGAAGGGAGA